CAAAGCAGTTCAAAGCTAAAGCTACCACTGGTAGACGACTTGTGAGTTAATGATGTTTGCCTGTGGGCAAAACAATATGTCATGGCTGAGAAACTGCAACATTCTGAGATAACTAGGGAAAAAGTCAGGGGGGTGACATTGACCATGGGTAGGATTTCCCAGCGTGGGTGGAGCAGCTGTTCAACATCAAGTTCACGATGACAGCTGCTGCCCCAGAAATGACTTGGCTTTTTAATGAATCCCAACAACCCCAGTACAACCCTGTGAAGTGGCCAGATGCCATGGTTATAGACCGTCCAGACATTTGACATGGACAAGCAGGATGGAGACCAAACTCAACTGTTTAGATTACCATGCAGAAACCCATGTACAAAAAACAAAATGCGAAAATTTTGTTCTTGAATTTTCTAGTAAGGTAACCTGCATCGTAAAAAAATTGTATTGTGAGCTGTCAAGTTGTATATAAGTAATTTTTTTAGTTTTTGGTACTTCATCTAAGTTGGGATTATTCTGAATTGTTTACCATATTGTTTTACCTTATTCTTGGAAGTACACCACAAGCAAAAGGTCAACTTCAACCCTTCAGGTCAAAAATCATTATCTTAACTCACATTACACGTACATGTATATGCATATGTTTCTGTACATTGTATACTGGTCAGCTGCTGTAAGTTTTCATAAAATATCATATGATACATAGATTGACGACAGTTACAAATATTAATAGATGACCTTCACTGATCATAAGTGACAGGGAATTGATGTTGAAGTTCCCAATGTGGACAGCTTCATTGCTGGGGTCAGCAAAATGGAGGGTGTTAAGCCTTGATTTATCAGACACAAGGTCATTATGTCAGTTCATCTAACGTTATATGCCAGCATGTAGGATTACTTTCTATTTCTCTTGAGACCAACAGTAAAATGAAATCATCTATATCTGGGTAAGGATATGCAACTTAGGATAGGTTATGTTGCATATGACACATTCTTCGAATTGGGAATAAAATCACACACTTTCATCTTGTGCCATATTCAGCTGTAAAATTATGATTTCTTTTATTACGTTTGTGTGTGTCATTAAAACGTTATGTATATAAGTTATGTATAAATAGCCAATGGTTTAGCAACCACATTGAATTGAATGTTCTTATCAAGGATACAAAATGTGGCTTATATACTAGTAAAGGATGACAATTTCTTGACAGCTAGAGCTACAAAAATGTACCCTTTCTCAAGTACTATGAACTGTAACATTGCTCTAACTATGCTTGTAGCTGTTATAATCACTCGGTATGTATAATTTCATTGCAAAAGTGCTGCTAATACACCAGATTCTGTGATGAATGGAGTAAGATGCAATAAAGTACTAAAATGAGATGTCAGAAGACGTTGTGAAGTACAAATGTACAAGTACTGTTTGTCTCAAAGTGTCCTGCCTTCAGGGTCAGTACCCCAGTCCCTGGATAGCCCTGGCTTTGGGCCAGCATGAAGTAAACTGTATTACAGATGTACCATCATTAGAGACATTACATCGCTTATCTGGCTAGCTAGGATTACTGCTAATTTATTCCTAACAACTTCCATATTTAGTCCTTACAATGTACTTATCTCAAATAAGACATCTGTATTGAGTGGTGGGCTTAGCAGGTGCCACAGACTTTATGAAGTTATTTGCTGCAGTCTAGACAACGAACTGCAAATGAGGAGTTTCAATAATATTCATCAGTCATATAGTGTAAATATTTATGAGTCTGAAAGTTATTTCTATAGCATATCTGTAGAGTCAAGTCAAGAATAGTGCTACAGGTCAGTCCACTTTTCCTCTACCGTCTGAGCTGATGTATTTTTATGATGTGGGTGGGCCAAACCATTTTGGATTGTTTGTAATTTTCTTTAAAAAACAAACATAGAAAGGATACATTTACTATCCTATCTGTTGTGTAAGACTAGAACTTGATCCAATTGAACCAACAAGAAGCATGTGTACATAAAAGTGTCAATTTTCTTTGAAATCGTGACATCTGTTCTGTGCTGTTAGAAGTTGCACCTTTTCAACCCCATCTTTGTTGATGTTCCAAGCAAACCTTGACAACTTCCCTCGGCATTCCACCCATTCTGGGAATGCACCTTGCCTTCAGTGAGGCCCTGACATTCCTGCTACATGACACCCTGGCCCGGGGAAACTCAACCCCTTGGTACCATGCCCAAAAATAGGACAAGAGGGATTGCTTTCTAAGCAGAGCCCATGTTGACTGGGCGGTTATTTTAGCAAACAGTTCCACAAGACAGCCATTTGAAAAAGGTTTTTATGTACTAATGTCTTAAGGTTTTGTACAGTGATTGCCAGGCATATGTGGATATGGTTAATGAAAATATCACTAGAAATTTGCAAGGGCATTTTTGACAATTTAAGATTCCAAATTCTCCCATCAAGGTTGTACACCAAGGCCTCGGGGTTACTCTTCAAGGGGCTTTCCCTTTTATCATGACCCCGTTTTCTGTCAATAGTCTAAATTAGGAATACCTGTATTTGCGAAGCAAACAGCCTAAAAGTTTTGAAAGGTATTGACCATCATCAGAGGTTGGAAAGTAAAAGTAAAAGTACATGTATACAATATAGGACATTTATTCTAATGAGATATGTCACCATAGAAAAGATAAGATACATGAAAACAAAAAAGTTATGTATACACAGGTTTTTGCACCTACCAGTATCTATAATGTTCTCATGCAAGGTCATTAGTGGAACACGCTTTCTGACCCAGGTCAAAGGTCAGATGGGGTGTGATGTTGTGTGATGTACATGTCCGCGAGGGGAGTCTTGAAACTGCAAAAGAGGCAT